TGTCCCTCAGCTCTTCAGCTCAAGGCGAGCGCTCTACCACTTGAGCTACAGCGCCACTTCCGGTTTTCTGGTGGTTCACTGGAGATAGGAGTCTTACAGTCTTTCCTGCCTGGGCTGGCTTTGAACCTCGATCCTCAGATCTCAGCCTCCTGAGTAGCTAGGATTACAGGCGTGAGCCACCAGCGCCCAGCAAGACCATCTTTTTAGTAGTGTAAAAATGAGAAAAATAAAAACTGCATTATACTCACAAACTCACCATGTCATGTTTTATCAACAAACAATTTGATTCCATATTAGTTTTCTAGGTCAATTCTATAAAGAACATACTATTTTTAGTTTAATTGTGAAATTAAAAGGGTAGCAAACGTTTTTACTCTAGCACTAAAGTGAATGCTATAAGAGAATGAAGTATTTAGGTGCAGGTCGCTCACACTTATAATCCTAGCTACTCAGGAAAGTATGAGATCTGAGGATCACATAGCTCAAAGTCAGCCCGGGTAGGGAAGTCTATGAGACTTTTTCATCACAGATAAAGCCAGAAGTGATGGTTTAGGTCAAGTAGTACAGTGCTAGTCTTGAGCTAAAGGAACTTAGGGATAGCACCCAGGCCCTGGCCTACAATTCAAGGCCCATGACTGGGAAAGAAGCTCAGTGGTAGAGTGCTTGCCTCATATGCATGAGGCCCTGGGTTCAATTCCTCAGCACCACATAAGCAGAAAAAGCCAGAAATGGTGCTGTGGCTCAAGTGGTAGAGCACTAGCCTTGAGCTGAAGAGCTGAGGGACAGGGCCCAGGCCCAGAGTTCAGGCCCTACAACCGACAAAAAAAAAAAAAACAGAATGAAGTAAAAGAAGGTAATTACAAAGACCATATATTGAATGATTTGATTTATATGCAATGTCCTGATTTACAGGTGAATCTACAGAGATAGAAAACAGGTTTAGGGGCTGTGTAGAGTTAAAGGATTAGAGGAGGGTTGGTAAAGAGATTTGGAAGTGTCAGCTAACTAGTTCTGGTAGGATTGGTTTGTTTCCTGCTGATAGAGGGGCTTGAATTCAGGTTCTACGTAATGTCATTTAGTACTTATACTCAAGGCTGGCCCTGTACCACTTGAGCCACAGCTCTACTTTCTGGTATTTATGTATGTATGTATGTCATGGGGCTTGAACTCTAGGCCTGGGCACTGTCCTTTAGCTCTTTAGCTCAAGGCTAGCGCTCTACCACTTGAGTCACTTCTGATTTTCTGGTGGTTAATTGGAGATAAGAGTCTCACGGATTTTCCTGCATAGGCTGGCTTTGAACCGTGATCCTCATATCTCAGCCTCCTGAGTAGCTAGGATTATAGACGTGAGCCAGCGCTGGTCTTCTGGCTTCCTTTTTGGTGACTAATTGGAGATAAAGAGTCTCACAGACATTTCTGCCCAGGCTGGCTTTGAACTATGATCCTCAGATCCAAGACTCCTGAGTACCTAGAGCCCCCAGCACCCAGATATTTAACTTTTTTTTTTTTAACCAGTTCTAGAGCTTGAACTCAGGGCCTAGGCACTGTCCCTGAGCTTCTTTTTGCTCAAGCTAACACTGTACCACTTGAGCCACAGAGCCACTTTCCGCTTTTTTCTGTTTATGTAGTAATGAGGAATTGAACCCAGGGCTTCCTACATGCTAGGCAAGCACTCTATGACTAAACCATTTAAACTCTTTTTAAAACAGCATTTTTTTTGGGGGGGTCCGGTCGTGGGGCCTAAACTCTGGGCCTGGGCACTGTCCCTCGGCTTGTCAGCTCAAGGCTAGCGCTCTACCACTTGAGCCACAGCATCACTTCTGTTTTTTTTCTTTTTGCTTATGTGGTGCTGAGGAATCGAACCCAGGGCCTCAGGCATGCAAGGCAAGTGCTCTACCACTGAGCCACCTTCCCAGCCCCTTAAAACAGAATTTTGCTATGTGTCCCATGCTGACCTTATGCTATGTTGTCCAGGGTGGCCTTAAACTTGAAATCTTTCTGCCTCAACCTCCTGAATCCTGAGATTACAGACATGTCTCACCATCATCACTTAAGAATTACTGGGGCCGGACACTGGTAGCTCACACCTGTAATCCTAACTACTCAGGAGGCTGAGATCTGAGGATCGCGGTTCAAAGCCAGTCTGGGCAGGAAAGACCGTAAGACTCCTATCTCCAATAAACCACCAGAAAACTGGAAGTGGCGCTGTAGCTCAAGTGGTAGAGCACTGGCCTTGAGCTGAAGAGCTGAGGGACA